TGTCAGAACCCATTCAATTGTACTTTACTGTATGCAAATTACACCTTAATAAACCTGACTTTAAAAAAAAGATGACCGGTAAGGGGATCTTAACCCTTGATTTAGTGTTGCTAGCACCACGCTCTGCCAAGTGAGCTAACCGGCCATCCCTACATAGAGATCCGAACCCGTGGCCTTGGTGTTATCAGCACCACACTCCCCAAGTGAGCCATGGGCCGGCCCAAACCTGACTTTTTAAAAAGCTTCGTGTGCAGCAAAATGTCCCTTGTGGGCAAGCCTTTTACTGGGAAAGGGTTGATGACCAGGAGGAACAAGCCCAACAATGTGGGGCTACTCTGTAGTGGTGATTCGCTGATCGCATAAACCGCGGCGAGTCCCAGTGGAAGGCTGCCAGCATTGGGCAGTAGATGGAAATCTGGTAAGTCTGGTTGTTAGTCCAGAGGCTCTGACTGGCTCGCTTTCCGTCTCCCAGGGACGCCACTGCACTCTACCCTGCCCCGTGGGGTCAGGGACGGAACCACGTAGGGGTCTTCACCGGGGCCTAACTATGACCTAGGTGGGCAGCAGCCCTAGGTACCGCCCGCCCGCCGAAACCCCACGGGGCGGCCCTCGAACTGTGCCTCCTCAGAGCCTCCATTGCCCCCGCAGGACGCCAAGAGAAGGAAAAAGAGAGCACCGAACGCGCCAAGCAGCTCAATGAAGTGACGTCGCTCCACGTGACGTACTTCCGGCGCGTCTCCTTCCTGCACGCCACTTCCGGTGGCTCGCTGGTCCTCGCTGGGGAGAGCGGGGCAATTAACTGGGCTGTGCCGTGCTGCCTTAGGCGCCTGCGCTGCCAACTGTGGGCGAGTTCTGTGCGCGCTAGGGGCCTGGCGCGACCCTTCGGTAAGGCGTGCGTGCGGCGGGGCGGGAACAGAAGCGCCCTCCTCGGGCTCTCGGCGTGGCCGTGCTCGCGCTCCCGCCAAAATCAAGCCCGGGACCTTTGGCGTGGCGAGTTCGCCCGCCTAAACACTGTTGGCCTCATTCCAAAAACCAGTTTTGTTTTATTTCTAAATTAACGTCGGCTCTTTTTTCCCTGGCGACGTCTGGAGAAGGGCAGGAAAATAGCGTAAATAGAGGCGCCTAGTGCCAGGCACTGTGCCAGCCCAGTACTGATGCTTTTATAATTCTTGCAACATTCAGGTATTCGGGGAATTGGGGGATTACGGTGTAGCTGATGAAAAGCCTGTTGGGAACTTGGACTGATAGTTTGACGATATTCTGTCGATTGACGTTTTTCCTTTTCCCCTCTTTAGAATGCGTTCTCTTTGCGAAGAATAAACATTCCTCCTTCCTCTCCCTCACGCACTGCGATTTTTTATATTTTGTTGTGGGTGTATGAATAGGTAATGGCAGGGTACATAATTTTTTTTTAAAAGACTAATACAAATCGGATGTGACTAAACCCCCATATGTTAGTAGTTTGAATTTTAAGCTTTATAGAATTAAGCAGATTATCACTTAATCGGGATCGCGACACTAAAAACCTAGTATTTGTTGCAGTTTGAGCTAACCCTTTTAGAAAAGCATACAGATTATCATTACTCTTATTCTTTCAATACTTGATTTCTACACCAGGATGTAATTCATAAAAAGGGACATGATCATTTAGTACTCATTCTTTCATAAGGCTGCTTGTTTTAGATGCAAGCCACTTAAAACAGCATGTTAATTTTTGGAAGTTTGTGTAAAGCACTTAGAACAGTGCCTGGCACCTAAGTCTAGAGAAGTACTGACTGCCATTATGATGATGATAATGATGGTGATTTACAAAATGTCATACCAGAGAAAGGCGAGTTTTGGGGGGTTTTTAATGCTGTCTTTATTAAAATACTTAATTTTCTGTTTTTAAAGATGTGTTTTTGCATTTCGAATTCAAATAGCTTTGCGATCAAAATAGATTTACTTGTTTTGTTCACATAACTTTGTGACCTAATGGGGGAGAAGTGTACAGATTACGAATTTTTATGATTTAAATATCACTGTTTTAAAATCTTATCTTTTGTCTCTTAAGCTGGTGACAAAATAGCTATGATTTCATTATGCTGTCTGCTTTGAGTATTTTGAACAATAAACCAGAATTTTTATCCAGTTTTCTTAGGTAGCTACAGAGATAATCTGGAAAATGAAATCACTATTTTCAGTGCTTGGGGTGGGGCAGAGAGGCAGGCATTCCAAAGGTACTGGTATAGTACTGATAGCCAGGAGTTTATCCAAATTTACAGGAAGCTATACAGATCCTTTGCATTAAGAGGATAATATCCATCAAGTGGAAATTGGCAAAATGCTGGTGTGAGTGTATTCCATTCACTGCCTTCTCCTCTCTCCCTAGCAAATAGGAGAATCACTTAAGTATATGCTCCTAAGCAGGGGTAACGGACAGACAATACTATAGTGGAGTGGTTGAAAATGTGGACTTTGGTGTTAGGTGGACCCAGGTTTAAGTCACCACTCATCCACCTACTCCTCTGTGACTTTGAAAAGATTAGGAAGCTGGAAACATTGATGGCAGGATAAACCGTGGTCTAGTTCTTGGTGAATGTTTAGGCTATCATTCTGTGAGGACTAACCAGAGTAGATTCATGATAAGAATGTTTTCACTGTGTCAGAGGAATGTCAGATTCTAAAAGAAGTGAAGCCTAAATTGTGCCAGTTGCAAGTATGACATGGCAGCCCAAAACTCCAGTATGTAGCATCTGAACATATTGGCTGTAACACAGCATTGTTGCCTACAGACAATAACAACTGTTTTTTTCTGTTTTCAAACTGTAGTTTTATCAGCGTGTTATGATGCCATCTCTTACCAATCTGGCTACTGGAATCCCCGGTAGTAAAGTGAAATACTCAAGGCTATCCAGCACAGAGGATGACTATATTGACCTTCAGGTACATGCAGAAGGGAACTGACAAGACTACATGGCTATATTTCTGTTGAGTTAGCAGAGAGGCCTTCCAGGTGGAGGTTTTGCTAACTATCCCTGAGGTTTAGAAGGAGCAGCAGGAAATAAACTCAGCTTTAAAACACTTTTAGCCGTAACTTGCAGAAGAGGACTTTGGCAGGGCAGTTTTGAACCAATTCCAATATTGTCCATTTCTAAGAATTTTCAGTTGTAACTCTTAGAGCCTTCTAGTTGCAAGTTTTATTTAGTTTATCAAAAAAATAATCAGATTGTGTTGGCTGGTTGGTTAGCTCAGTTGGTTAGAGCACGGCCTTGTAACACCAAGGAAAAGGGTTTAGTTCCCCATACCAGCCAGCCACCATGAAAAAAAGATTGTGTTTTGTTAAGTGGAGTTTTTTTTAAGGACTGTGTCACTGGTTTATTTGCCTCTAGTCAAAGCCAGTTCATCTTTTAAGAGAGAAACTAAGTGCCAAAGCCAGCAGATTGTGAGAATCTTCCTTGTTTCCTGATGGCACGAGATCCAATTTCTTTGTGTATTTATTTGTTTGTTTGTTTGTTTATTGCTTCCACAAATAAGTGATTGTTGTGTCTTCTTCCGCCCCCCCTTTATTTGATGAGATCCAGTTTATTAAAGGTATTCTTTGTGACAAACAGTAAGTAAACAGAGAATATTTATTAAGTTGTATTCTACCCTGACCATTATTTATAAAATAATCCATAGTAACAAAATAAAAATAAATAAATAAATACTTTTGCACCAATGAGAAGTGCCCATTACAAAATAATAATAATAATAATCCATAGTATAACATCTCCTTTTGCCCCCTTCCCCTTAGAATAGACTATTCTAGGTGAAACTAGGGCCAAGGAGGAAGTAACAGGCCCTATGCTTTTAAATATAAATAAATCAATTATTCCCTATACTCTTTGGACTCGCAGTTGATGGAGAGATAAAAATAGATCTGGGAAGCTTCCAGCCAGTTAGGTCATATACAGCCATGAGCAAAACCTTAGAAAGTTTGTCTCTGAATCTTAACCTTAAATTAAGCTTTTTCATAAGGCAGGTTATTTGCTCCATGGAGCAAGCACGTAATGCTTCAGAAAAAGCTGAAATTGTCTGTTTCTAAAACCTTTGACTATATGCTGATTTAACTTTGAATGCCAGGAATCACTTATTTTCTTTATTTCTCCATTGCATGGTTTTCACTTTTGGTGTAGATTTAAGAGTGAACACCATGCTATGGAAAAATAAATGTGCCAGTCACTTAATAAATATATGTCTAATGAATGAATGACCATAAGTAGTTTCTGTTTTTGTAAAAAAAAAAAAAAAAAAAAGTTTCTTATGGTACAATGGATGATCTGTGGGATGAGATTAGAAATAGAAAGGATGACATTTTACTGGGACTTTTTTGAGTGAGTTTAGACCCAATAACTAGAGCTTCATCTCCTGCCTGTCCCTTTCCTTTCTTTCCCAGAGTCACCCTGGGTAGTAGGACATACTTCAAGACACATGAAGTATCCAGTTTGGTTCTTAATTATCTTCCCTGTTTTCAAGTGTTTGAGCCCTGCTATTTTCATATGTTATTCTTTGTCTTTTTTGTTTTTGTTTCTCTTCCAGTTTAAGAAAAGCCCTCCTAAGATACCTTATAAGGCCATTGCACTTGCCACTGTGCTGTTTTTGATCGGCGCCTTTCTCATTATCATAGGCTCTCTCCTGCTGTCGGGCTACATCAGCAAAGGGGTAAGCTGTGGGCGTTTGGGAATGTGCCATGTGATCTAAGGTTTCCTTTTATATTTTGTTCTCTGATAACAAAACATGTTTTTCTTCTTTTAAGCAATGACAAGCTTTTCCCATAGTTCCTATGAGGTGGGCGGTGGCAGGTAGGTAAACTTGGCCTCTGATATATTAGGCATTTGTCCACCGTCATGATTTAGAACAGCATAGCTAAGCCTTGCATCCGGGATTTCTGATTGGTAAAGGACTTAGGTGGAGTAGCATGATGTCATTGTAGATCTTTGGTGCCAAAGACATACTGGTCAGTTTTGGGAGAGAAGCAGAGTCTTGTATAGCTGGGGCCACTGGGCTTCATAATCAGTTCCTTCTTACATTGGGTTTGGTTGGAGTTCCTGTTGAGCTTCAATACGATTCCTTAGAAACCTAAAGTTGTGTTTGGTGGTTCTTCTCTCAGGCTGTCCCCATATACAATATCTCAGCTGTTCTGATCTGGTTCTGAACATAGTTCACATCCTTCCTCTGACACACCAGGTTGGGGGATGATGGTCACATCACTCTTCATAAAATAAGGAACACAGCCAAGATTTGAAATTGTGGGTGTTATCTTTGGGAATGGTTTCACTGTCACAAAATGACTACATGTGGTTTTAAGAAGTGTGTCTGATTGCTTTGGTTCTTGGCTATTTAAAATTATTATATGGCCACCAGAGGCTTCCTTGGTGCAGTCTTCATTTGAACACCTAACTTCAGGACTGTTTCTTCATTCAGTTAACTCTCTTTTTTTTCTTTTTGGTGGCTGGCCAATATGGGGATCTAAACCCTTGATCTTGGTGTTATAACACCACACTCTAACCAACTGAGCTAACCAGCCAGTTAGCTTTCATTGCAGGAGTCTATTAACGGTATTATAAAAACTAAAAGCAGAGGTAAGATCAACACAACAAATATTGTTTTACCTTGTATGGTTTATAAAAGACTACCTTATAACTAAGGATAACAATGTTAATTAAATTAATTAAGAAAATCACTAATAGATTTTGTTCTTTTTTTATTATTGGTTTTTTTGTTTGTTTTTTCTTTTTATTAACAGATATTTCAAATAAAACAGAAGTAGAGAGAATAATATAATTAACCCCCATGTGTTCACCACCCAGCATCAGTTGTTATAAACATTTTGCCAATCTTGTTTTGTCTCTCCACCTAACTTTTTTTTTCCTGTATCTTAAAGCAAATACCAGACTTACATTTTGCTGGTAAATTCTTAAGAGTATGCATCTTCAGTATGCATCTTTGTTTTTTCATAACCCCAGTGGCACTATCTTAACGTCATTCAGGTCATTGCTCCGTTCCTTATATTTCTTGCATATTGTAGATTTAGGGGCTTACTTAGATTCAGATTTAGTTTAGTTTAGAGAGAATATTTCATAAGGTGTGCTGTGTACTCTTGTATTTGCTATAGCACATTGGTTCTCAAACTTCACCTGGCAGATTTGTTAACACACAGATTCCTCCATCTCACTCCCAGAGATTCCAATTCTGTATGTCTAGGGAAGGGCCTGAGAATTTGGTTTCTAACCAGTTTTCAGGTAATGCCAGAAGTCCACAAACCACATTTTAAGAACCATTACTATAGTATTACATTAGGAGGCACATAATGGTTGTACTAATTTTTGATATTAAGATTGATCACCAGGTTCAGGTGTCATCAGCTTCATTCATTTATTATAAACTTCTCCGTCACCCATGCCACTAATAAATCCAGTTCTATCATTTTCTAAATTTATCAGCTGAAATTCTTAGGTAAAGAACTTTTTTAAAAGTCCAACATTTGTTTACCCTGAAATACAGTATATATAGAAAAGGTAGGAAAGATGCTTGATTATTTCTCTTTATCGACTTTTATTAAAAGTCCAACATTTGTTTACCCTGAAATACAGTATATATAGAAAAGGTAGGAAAGATGCTTATTTCTCTTTATCGACTTTTATAAAAAATACACCTAGCAACCTCCAGAGGTGACCAAAGAATTATTAGTATCATTAAGAACTCATCATTTTTGGGCCGGCCCGCGGCTCACTTGGGAGAGTGTGGTGCTGATAACATCAAGGCCACAGGTTCAGATCCTATATAGGGATGGCTGGTTAGCTCACTTGGGAGAGCGTGGTACTGACAACACCAAGTCAAGGGTTAAGATCCCCTTACCGGTCATCCTTTAAAAAAAAAAAGAGAGAGAAAGAACTCATCTTTTTTTTTTTTTTAACATTGTTGTGTTTTAATAAGTTGCAGTCTGTATTCTTTTTCACATTTAAATTATTCCATATTTGGTCACTCCTATTTCTGTTTGTGGATGAGGCAGCCAAAACTATATTGATTTGGTAATTTATCAATATACATTGTTTAAATATCCCTGCTAAAAAGAGATTGTTAGATTGGGTTTTTTTTCCCTTTTTGGCGGTGGGGGGGGGGGTTGGCGTAGCTGTCTGGTACAGGGAGCGAACTCTGGACCTTGTTATCAGCACCACATTCTAACCAAATGAGCTATGCGTTTAAATCGTTTGATGAGAGAAATCTTCCTAAGCTTAAGAACAATGGAAAAAATCACAAAAAGGATAAGGGTAAATTTAACTATATAAGCATTTTAAACTGCAGCGTAAAAAACAAGGCAGACAAAACAGTTTTATAAAGGTGAATCCATATATTCAGCACATTTATTGGTCCTCTGTTATATGTAGGGCACAGCTGAGGATGCAGGGATGAACAAAGCTCCAGCCGTTATAGAACTCCCCAAAAAGTTGAAGTCCTCCTGGTAAAGAACCTGAGATACAGTCCCCTTCCTTTGACCTATGAATTGTTCTCGTGGGAATCCACACTAAGAAAGGCAGAAAAACCCACAGAAGTTTATTGTGGTATTCTGTGCAGTTACAAAAGGTAAAAACCAAAGTGTTCAACAGCCAGGTGAGGGGGGGGTGGTTAAATAAAATTGTGGTACATCCATTGCACTGGAATGTTACATACCATCCCAGCTTAAATGTATGAAGAACTTTTAATATATTGGCAATTGCTTGTTATAAAGAGACAAACAGGACACACAGTATGGTGTGCTCACAACTAAGAACTTCAAAAAAAAAAAGAGAAGGAAATAAGCCAAAATAACTGTGAATGAGAATGGATAACTTTTCTACTTTATAATTTTTAATATTTTGTATTTTTTTTCTTCAATTTATAATAGGAGGAAAAGATATGTAAACCTCTTTCCTTGGTAGTGTGCTACCAAAGAAAATGTTCTGAAAAGCTTAAAATACGAATCTATGGATCAGGCCTATGACTTTCTTTTATTTTAAAATTTATATCTTGTATGGTACTAATGTGTTTGCCTCCTTTTGCCACCAGGGGGCAGACCGGGCCGTTGCAGTCCTGATCATTGGCATTCTGGTGTTCCTGCCGGGATTTTACCACCTGCGCATTGCCTACTATGCATCCAAAGGCTACCGGGGTTACTCCTATGATGACATTCCAGACTTTGATGACTAGCGCCCACCTCAGCCCTGCGGATAAAAGTCACAGTGGAACTGTACCCAGCTTTAAGATATTGAGCAGAAACTATGGCTAAGGGCTAAGGAATTCTGCAGTTTGCAGATGTTTAACAAAACAATGGCCAGATTTTATGGGTCTATCCCAAAGACGTTAACTGAGCTTACAATTAGCTTATTAGGATATGCTCTATCATTCATCTTCCAGCCCTAGCCCCGGCAAAAGCTCCTGACAAGTTTTTCCACGTGGGTATATATCATGGAAGAATATATACTGTCTGGGGGAGTTAGAGGTCATTGTGTAGTGAGAAGTGCTGTGGCTGCCACCCTCTTAAAAACTGAGCATTTCTTTTACATACTCTTCATTGTCGGTTTGTTCTTATACCAAATGGAAGAATGCAGTATATCTAATTTCTTATTACTAGGTAATTTATTTTTAAAATATCTAAGTATCTTATCTCCTACACTTATCTCTATCTTCATGTTCTAATGGAAGACCTTGGTAAAATCAAATATTGGTATGGGTCCATCTGTAATATTTTTTTTTACTCTCCGTTATTGATGGAGTTTGGATGTGTTGTCCCCTCCAAAACTCATGTGGAAATTTGATCCCCAATGTAGCAGTGTTGGAAGCTGATTGAGTCATGGGGGCGGATCCCTCATGAATGGATTAATGCTCTCCCTAGGTGGAAGGAGTAATGAGTGAGTGCTCTCTCTATTAGCTCCTGCAAGAGCTGGTTGTTTAATAGGCCTTGCACCTCCTCTCTCTCTCTCTTTGCTTCATCTCACCATGTGATCTGCTTGTACCTGCTGATTGCCTGCTGCTTTCCACCATGAGTAGAGGCAGTCTGAGGTCCATGCCAGAAGCAGCTGTGCCAGAATCGTAAGCCAAATAAACCTCTGTTCTTTATAAATTACCCAGTCTCAGGTATTTCTGTTATAGCAACACAAAACAGACTAAGACAGTTATTGACAGTAATCAGTAATTTTTATTTTTTTATTTTTTTAAAATATAACCATAATAGGAATTACCACACAACACCAAAATTAACATTAATTTTTAAGTACTATCTAATAGAATCTATTAGAATGGAATCACTGATAGAATCCAATGATTCTAACTGAATCATCATGTTCAACTTTCCCCTATCTTTATTTTTATTTATTTATTTTATTTTTGTAATTTATTTATTTTATTACAAGTATTCATGAGATACAGTGCTGATTGTCACCCCTTGTGGCATGAACTGAGGGCCAGATTCATACCGGCAGCATACCCACCACCAGAAATTGCTTTTGTACCCCATGTCCCCCACCCAATTATCCCCACCTCAACCCCCCCTCCCCTACTCCCCCCCACTCCACTTTGTAGCCCAGGGAATGTTCTCTCCCTCTGCAAGACCAACGCACTACTGTGCTCTTTCTTTGCTTCCTTCTTTCTTAGCTCCCACATATGAGTGAGCACATGTGGTATTTATCCCTCTATGCTTTGCTTATTTCACTCAACATAAGTTTCTCCAGGTTCATCCATATTGTTGCAAATGGGAGTATTTCATTCTTATTTATGGCAGAGTAGTATTCCATTGTGTATATATTCCACAGTTTCCTTATCCAATCATCCATCAGTGGGCATTTAGGTTGGTTCCATGTCTTGGCTATTGTAAACAGAGCTACAATGAACATTGGAGTGCAGGTATCCCTTTGACAAGATGATTTCTATTCCTCTGGGTATATTGAATGTCTATTTTTATACCAGTACTGTGCAGTTTTGGTTACAACAGCTTTGTAGTATAGTTTGAAGTCAGAATTATGTGTCTGGCTTTATTTTTTTTTGCTCAGGATTGCTTTGTCTATTCAGGGTCTTGTTCCATGTGAAAGGTAGGATTGTTTTTTCCATTTCTGTGAAGAATGTCATTGGTATTTTGATGGGGATTGCATTGAATCTGTAGATCGCTTTGAGTAGTATAGACATTTTCACAATGTTAATTTTTCCAATCCAAGAGCATGGAATATCTTTCCATCTTTTTGTGTCTTCTTTAATTTCCTTCAGAAGTGGTTTGTAGTTCTCGTTATAGAGATCTTTCGCTTCCTTGGTTAAATTGATCCCTAGGTATTTTATTTTTTTGTGACAATTGTAAATGGGCTTGCTTTCTTTATTTCTCTTTCTGTTAACTCATTATTTGAGTATATAACTGCAACTGAGTTTTGGGCATTATTTTGTATCCTGCAACATTACTGAAGTTATTAATGAGCTGTAGGAGTATTTTGATAGAGTCTTTAGGATTTTCTATATATAGTATCGTGTCATCTGCAAATAAAGTTTGACTTCGTCTTTTCCAATCTGGATTCCTTTTATTTCTTTCTCTTACCTGATTGCCCCGGCTAGTACCTCCAGTACTATGTTGAATAGAAGGGGCGAGAGTGGGCATCCTTGTCTTGTTCCTGTTCTTAAGGGAAAGGCCCTCAGTTTCTCCTCATTCAAAATGATACTGGTGGTGGGCTTGTCGTAAATGGCTTTTATTGTGTTGAGATATTTTCCTTGTATACCTAATTTGTTGAGAGTCTTTATCATGAAGGGATGTTGAATTTTGTCAAATGCTTTTTCAGCGTCTGTTGAGATAATCAAATGGTCTTTATCCTTGAGTTTGTTTATGTGATGTATCACATTTATTGACTTTCGTATGTTGAACTATCCTTGCATCCCTAGAATGAATCCCACTTGATCATAGTGTTTAATTTTTTTAATATGTTGCTGTATTCTGATTGCTAGTATTTTGTTAAGGATTTTAGCATCTAGGTTCATCAGGGATATTGGCCTGTAATTTTCTTTTTTTGTTGTGTCTTTATCTGGTTTTGGTATCTGAATTATGTTGGCCTTGTAGAATGAGTTTGGGAGAATAGCTTCTGTTTCAATTGCTTGGAATAGTTTGAGGAGAATTGGTATTAACTCCTCTTTAAAAGTTTGATAGAATTCAGCTGTAAAACCATCTGGACGCAGACTTCTCTTTGTTGGAAGACTACTAATTACTGCTTAAATCTCATTGCTTATCAGTCTGTTCGGGTTTTCTATCTCTTCTTGGTTCAGTCTGGGTAGTGTGTATGTGTCTAGAAACTTATCCATATCTTCCAAATTTTCATATTTGTTGTCATACAGTTGTTTATAATAGTCTCTTATGATTCTTTGTATTTCTGTGGTATCAGTTGTAATGTTTCCCTTTTCATTTCTGATTTTTGTTATTTGGGTCTTCTCTCTTCTTTTTTTTATTAACCTAGCTAATGGTTTGTCTATTATATTCATCTTGAAAAACCAACTTTTTGTTTTGTTGATCTTTCCTGTTGTTTTTTGGGTCTCTATTTCGTTTAGTTCTGCTCTGGTCTTAATTATTTCTTTTCGTCTACTACATTTAGGTTTGGATTGTTGTTGTTTTTCAAGTTCTTTGAGTTGTAGTGTTAGGTTGTTTATTTGAAGTCTTTCCATTCTTTTGATGTAAGCATTTATTGCAATAAATTTGCCTCTTAGTTCTGCTTTTGCAGTATCTCACAGGTTTTGGTATGATGTATCTTTATTTTCATTAGTTTCTAGAAATTTTTTGATTTCCTGTTTGATTTCTTCTTGGACCGATAGGTCATTCAGGAGCCTGTTATTTAGTTTCCATGTATTTGTATAGTTTCCTGAGTTTTGCTTATTATTTATTTCCAATTATAGACCATTGTGGTCTTAAAAGATACTTGGAATAATTTTAATTTTTTAATTTGCTGAGACTAGATTTGTGAGCTAATATATGGTCTATCCTGGAGAATGTTCCATGAGCTGATGAGAAGAAAGTATATTCTTTAGTTGTTGGGTGAAATGTTCTGTATATATCTGCCAAGTCCAGTTGTTCTAAGGTGTAGATTAAATCCTGTGTCTCTTTGTTGACTTGTTACCTGGAAGATCTGTCTCATACTGAAAGAGGGGTGTTCAGATCACCCACTATTAATGTATTAGGTCCTATTTTTTTAGGTCTAAGAGTGTTTCCTTTATATATCTGGGTGCTCCAGTATTGGGTGCACACATGTTTATGATTATTATGTCTTCTAGCTAGATAGATCCCTGTATCATTATATAGTGGCCTTCTTTGTCTCTTTTTATGTTTTTTGGTTTAAAGTCTATTTTGTCCGATATAAGAATAGTTACTCCTGCTCATTTTTGGTTTCCATTTGCATGGTATATCTTTTTCCATCCTTTCACTTTTAGTCTTTGTGTGTCCCTACAGGTGACGTGGGTCTCTTGAAGACAGCATATACTTGGGTCAAGCTTTTTAATCCAGTCAGTCAGTCTGTGTCTTTTGAATGGCGAGTTTAGTCCATTCACATTTAGGGTAGTTATTGACAAGTGTTTAATTCCTGTCATTTAATTGCTTCTTGTTTAGATGGTTTAAATATCTTTTGATAATTATTTCCCCTTTTGTTTCTCTTCATTGTTGCTTGGAAATTTCAGGTGGGATGATTTAGTTTCTTTCTCTTTCTTACTGACATTTTTGTTTTAACTGTGGGTTTTGCTTTTTCTTGTGTATTTGTGATAGTGGTCACTGTTATTCAGATTCCAAATGAATGACTCCCTTGAGAATTTCTTGCAGGGGTGGTCTTGTGGTGGTGAACTTCCACAACTTTTGTTTGTCTGGGAAATACACTATTTTCCCCTCACATCTGAAGGAGAGTCTTGCTGGGTAAAGAATTCTTGGCTGGAAATTTTTTTCCTTTAGTATTTTGGATATATCATTCCACTTTCTCTGGCCTGTAGGGTTTTGGTTGAGAAGTCTGCTGTTAATTTGATGGGGGTTCCCCTATAAATGACCTGACGCTTTTTTCTTGTTGCTTGTAGAATTCTCTCTGTCTTTGAGCTTTGCAAATTTAACTATGGGCCGGCTCAGTGGCGCACTGGAAAGTGCGCTGCTTGGGAGTGCAGCGGCGCTCCCGCCTAGGGTTCGGATCCCATGGGGAGACCAGTTCCCGCTCACTGGCTGAGCGTGGTGCGGGAACAGCTCCGAGGGTTGCGATCCCATTACCAGTCAGTAAAAAAAAAAAAAAATTATCTATAATGTGTCTTGGGAGGATCTTTTTGGATTGAATCTGTTTGGGGACCTTTGAGTTTCCTGGATCTGAGGGTCTGTATCTCACCCTACCCATGGGAAGTTTTCTCTTACTATTTCCTTGAGTAGGTTTTCAATACCTTTTTCTTTCTCACCTTCAGGAATACCCACAATTTCAGATGTTAGAGTGCTTGAGGTTGTCTGCCATCTCTCTTAAATTTTCCTCACTATTTTTAATTCTTTTTTCCTTTTTTTTTTTGTCTGCCTGAGTGATTTCAAAAAGACCA